TCTGCACCAAATTGTATATTTTTGCTCAGTTTGTAGCATGCTACTGTACATTGTGGTCACATAACAGGATGTGACCTTTGGGGTCATTCATCACATGGAGGTCATGTTGAGTGCACAGAATTGTGGGATACAGTAAAAGTATTCATTGCATACCAATGATGTAATTCTTTGCATAGTATGCATACTATTTACTAGTATGTGTAATATGAAATTGTATGTGTCAGATGCTACACTATTACATGCTAGTGTATGAGATGTGGTGTTAAAAAATTTTTCCAAACTAATTTTTCATTACACCTAAAGTATCAACATTAATTAATTAAGGTAAGCACATTTAAAATTAAGTTAAATGATTGTGGGATACAGTAAAAGTATTCATTGCATACCAATGATGTAATTCTTTGCATAGTATGCATACTATTTACTAGTATGTGTAATATGAAATTGTATGTGTCAGATGCTACACTATTACATGCTAGTGTATGAGATGTGGTGTTAAAAAAAAATTCCAAACTAATTTTTCATTACACCTAAAGTATCAACATTAATTAATTAAGGTAAGCACATTTAAAATTAAGTTAAATGAAAAGATTGTGTCGACACTTGTAATATTGTATTATTGTTTAAACATTTTGAAACTTTTTTGAAGAAAAATGTATAACAAATTTTACATAATATAGTGAATTTACAGTGTAATAATTTATATGGCAATAGTAAATAATACAATGAATTTTTTTGTCCAATCTTTCTTGCAAAAACATTTTGTCAGATGCTATTAGCTTCTACTTTTGAAAGGTCAAAAAAAAAAACTTTTGGAAGGTCATGCATTAAGAAACATGTTTTTTTGCAGCTAAATTGTGTAGTTTTAGTATCTACCAGCAGATGTAAACTGCTAACCAGAAGAAAAACCTGGCCTGCTAATTCCGAACATAACCATGTTTATACAGTACAACAGCCTTTTAGAAAACCTGGAAACTATTTATCATTTAGCACTTCTAGTGCCATCATCCCAAAGTCAATGGGTTTTTTAAAATAGCTATTTGGTCAAGATATTTTCATGTTTTTTTACAACATTAAATACATCAGTAATAGCCACTTGTGTGCTTTTTAAAAGCTTTTGCTTGTCTTGAAAAAATAGCTAAATGGGACTCCATTAAAAATCATCAGACTCTCTGCTGCCCCCAACAGCTCTGGAGATTCAGATATGCCCATATGTTTACGAACATGGTCTGTCATGTGACCTCAACATGGTGGCTACTCTGAGGAGTTGAGATAATGATAAGACAGACACTAGTGGAACAGAAAACACAAAAACTTCAGGTTTGATGCTTCAACGAAGCTGAGAGAATCAAAGCACATGTTCCGTGCAGTTCTTGACAGTGTTGTGATGTTTCATTGTGATTATCTCATCTGCTTGTGTTGGATGTTGACACGTCGTAGTCATAAATAACTGCTGTCTCTGCCTACGCTGGTAGAGACGTGATGTCTCTGTGTGAAAGATGAGGCAATGTAATGTGTCAGTGTACATTTGTGCGTGTTAGTGCATCAACCAATTTGAGATGAAGGCAGCCGGCAGATGTTGAAATGGGAAAAGTGTAATTCAGTCTGCAGATCGGCTTTTGTCGATTCTCAGGGGTGGATCTGATCTCAAACCCAATGAAACCCATGAGCCCACTTACTATAATGCTTACGCTCTCAGATCACTAACTCGCACACTCAGATGGTTCATCACTAATACACTCACAGATCACTTATCACCTGCACACACATTCTCAGATAGCTCAATGCTAATATACACACACACACACACTCTGGCCACTCATCAACAACAGACAAACATACAGTACATACGCTCAGATCATTCGTCGCTAATACACACAACTCTTAGACTACTCATCATCACTATTATACTTACACACTCTCAGACCATACATCACTAACACACACACACCCTTAATGACTGGACCACATGCTACTGAAACTTTCTTCTGTCCTGGAACTTCATGTTGAGTTTTTATTCATCAAGGATACATTAAATTGATCAAAAGTAACAGTAAAAACATGTATAATGTTCTATTTCAAAAAATACTGGGTAACACTTTACAATAAGGTTCATTAGTTAACTACATTAGTTAAATCAACCAATTTGAGATGAAGGCAGCCGGCAGATGTTGAAATGGGAAAAGTGTAATTCAGTCTGCAGATCGGCTTTTGTCGATTCTCAGGGGTGGATCTGATCTCAAACCCAATGAAACCCATGAGCCCACTTACTATAATGCTTACGCTCTCAGATCACTAACTCGCACACTCAGATGGTTCATCACTAATACACTCACAGATCACTTATCACCTGCACACACATTCTCAGATAGCTCAATGCTAATATACACACACACACACACACTCTGGCCACTCATCAACAACAGACAAACATACAGTACATACGCTCAGATCATTCGTCGCTAATACACACAACTCTTAGACTACTCATCATCACTATTATACTTACACACTCTCAGACCATACATCACTAACACACACACACCCTTAATGACTGGACCACATGCTACTGAACCTTTCTTCTGTCCTGGAACTTCATGTTGAGTTTTTATTCATCAAGGATACATTAAATTGATCAAAAGTAACAGTAAAAACATGTATAATGTTCTATTTAAAAAAATACTGTTTTTCCGAACCTTCTTATCAAGTGTTAACATTAGTTAATGCACTGTGAACTAACATGAACTAACAATGAACATCTGTATTTTTATTAACTAACGTTAGTGAAGATTAGTAAATACAGTAACAAATGTATTGCTCATGGTTAGTTCATGTTAGTTTATACATTAACTAATGTTTAACTAATGAACCTTATTGTAAAGTGTTACCAAATACTGTTTTTCCGAACCTTCTTATCAAGTACTTAAAATATATATATATATATATATATATCACAGTTTCAGCAAAATTATTAAGCAGCACAACTGTTTTCAACATAAGAACTGTTTCTTGAGCAGGAAATCATCATATTAGAATGATTTCTGAAGGATCATACGACACTGAAGACTGGAGTAATGATGCTGAAATTTCACAATATTACTGTATTTTTGATCAAATAAATGCAGCCTTGTTGAGCATAGAGACTTCTTTTAAAAAATCTTACCAACTGGCAACGTTTGAACTGTAGTGTATAATCAACGTAATTAAAGCAAATTCAACATACATCCCTAAACAATGACCAGTTAATCAAAATATCAGTATATCACTAAAACAAAACATTCGTTTGCAGGGAACTGAAAATTCTGTAATCCTTATCAAGCTTAGTTCTGTCTAATAGTGCTGTCATCTGAAATATACAGAAAACAGAAAGACTATAATCCTAAAGTACAGCAAAGAACTGTTTGAAAGCACATGTATGCACATACTCAACACTGTTGGTGTAGTCTGTGAGGGTCTCTCTCTAAAACCTCCAGGTTATCAACAGCTGCATGTTAAACCAGACATTTAATCAAATTCAGCAACACCACACCCTCATTCAATTTGTTAAGAGTTCCACAAAAATTACATCAAAATGTGTTCTATGTGAAACATCTTCAAATATGCAGTCCAAATGAACTGTGGATGCATAAACACTGTGAACATGAACACATTAGATATATAACCTTCATACCATACTGAAATTACACTTCAAAATAAAGGTTCTTCAATTGTTCTTTACAGTAGCTTAGGTTTAGCAAAGACTCGTGAATCAAGAATCACTGACATACTTGAGCAATTGCTAGGTGGTTGGTAGGGTGTTCTGGATGTTTGCAAAGGTGTTCTGTGTAAAAGCAACACTTTCAAGCAACACCATTGTCTTTGGAGCTTGAAGAGGTTCTTCTATGGCATCAGACTGTAAAACCCTTGTTGTACCCTTTACATTTAATAGTTTAAAGTGTAAAAGAGTCCGTACAGCTGAACTCTCCATCTACAGTTGGGGGTGGTCTGGTTGGCATAAAAGCCTGTCTGAGTGAGGGTCAGACTAGGTCAGTGTGTGTCAGAGCAGTGGGGTGAAGACTCTTTCTGTAGTGAACAGAAAACCTGCAGCCATCACTCTCTTACTGCACTACGCACCCACCGCCATGGACAAAAGGACACTTAGAGATGGAAAATTAGGCCAGAAAGTAGATGGAAGGACAGATGTAATACTTTCTGTCTTCAACTGTTAGGATTCCAATCAAGCCATAGGAAATATTTCATGTTTGTTCTTTTCTTTAGCTCAATCTGTCTTGTGGAAACACTGCAGATAAATGTAGCCCAAATCTTCCCTCGTGTGTACCACATTTTTGAGTTTGAACAACAAAACTTGCATTGATTCTGACACTTTAAATTCCAATCTGGAAATGTTTGGAATTCTTAATTTCAAACTTCCATACACGGAATTGAATCAGATATGAGTCACTTTTTTTCTTTTTTGCAATGTGACTTTAGTGTGAACAGTCATGTCAAAATTCATGCAATTTCAACTAAACCTAATGTAACTGCATGCTTGATTTTACCTTGGCGTGAATTTTAAGATAATTAACAAATCAGACTTTATGAAATATTGCACAGAGAGGAAAAAAAAAATTAACTTAAATGATTTTAGCAAATGGCTGCAATATAACAAAGAGTGAAAAATTTAAGGGGGTCTGAATACTTTCCGTACCCACTGTATATACTGATGCCACAAATGTGACTCTTGCTTTGAACTGTGTCAAACACATATATTAGCTAAATTTACATTTATGAAAGTAGATTATGATGAATGTGCCAGGCTAGTGTGTTTTATGTATGTAGGTTCAGTTCAGGAGCATCTTATATTGGACATATTTAAAAGGTCACAAAAATTCAAAAGGTCAAAATTGGGCACTTTGTAATGTGTACATAACTTAAAAACATAACTGGTCATTTAGATTAATATTAAAGTCTATCCAAAAGGTAATAAAATGAGAGTCCAAATGAGAGTGCCAACAGCTCACCAGTATTGAGGTCATCACACCAGACTTCTATCGAGTCAGAGGAACAGTCGCTGAAGTCATCCAGAGATATGTCTTCCTGAATCTGCATTCTTCATAAAATGAAAAGAATAAGTAAATTAGACACAATGGTTGCTCTTTCCAAGAGTCTCATAACCAAAAACCCACTAGAAAACATGTACCAAACATTCATTGAACGTCAGCCTAGAAGTTTAGATGTGGCATAATTCTTGATATTTTTCACTAACTGTTAACAATCTAGAAATAACAATCTGAAAATAATCAATGTTCAGTGCTATTTTCAGACAGCAGCTTTGTCCCTGTAACGCCTGGTTTATATTCAGCTACGCTAACATGGCAGTCGCCCTGATGCCAGTGTATCCCGTGCCCACCGGGTGTCCGCTGCACTGAGTCATTAGAGCAAATAATTCAGAGAGTGTTCGCACTGGCAGGAGAAGCTTTTTAAGCATCTACTCTGCCCCAGAATTCCCAGCAGGCATACAGAGGGCAGGAGCGACACAGTCTCTGAGAGCAGGACAGAAACTTAAACCGCATGACTGATTCGGCGCTGGAAAGATTACGAGTGGAATACGAGGCTAATCTGTCAGCGTAAATGATGGGCTGTCATTTTTGTCAAAACTGGATGAAATGGGGAGAAAAAGAGTTAGGGAGCCAAAAAGAGAGCCTGAGCTAGGCACAGACATATATGAGGACAGACAGAGGAAAGACAAATTATACAGCAACATAACTGAATCACTAGAAAAGTAATGAACCATGTAATACAATAAATGTGCAGCAGTTAAAACAAGTTAAGACAATTTTGAAAACACTTGAAACGCTGTAAAAACTAATAAAGTTTCATTCAGTTTGTTGCACACTAGCTTGGTAGAAAGATACAGTGCATTTTTACTGATTAGAATTTCCACTGTCTATCATAACAGCAAAAATTAGTTTACTCAACCTCTTTTGGATGTTTTACACTTGAAAGTTGTAGGCCAGAATCATTTATTCAAAACAGATCCTAATGTAATCTTGGGTTATCTTGAGTGAGCTGGATCTATCCTGACTTAATTAAACCTGACATTTGTAAACCCTGGGTTAATTCTCTTATTTGCATATTTACATGGTTAACAATATTATATGCATTAAATGTAACTGTCTTGCATAGATGACCTCAGTGGGCAACCCTCTTGACCATGGATCTGACTGTGAGCAGGACTTTATTATTCCAGGTTTAAAGTGAACTCTCAGACAAACCATGGGAAGAACCCTCTAAGTGATTTTGTACCTTATTTACACCTACAAGGTTTATAGTAGTACCTACATATCACTACTCTATGGTACTAATATACATATTTTAGGGCTATAAAATGATACTGCCCCAGGGACAAACTGTTGTATCCCTAAAAGTACAATTTCTGAACATTTTTTCTGAGAGTGTGGCACTAATTCCCTTTTAAAATTACAAGTGTGAAACTTTGGTTAACACAGGGTTAAAAGCACAGTTAATATGTTTAAATTTATGTGAGGTACACCTACTGTATGAAACCTCCTTGCTGAAAAGACCAGCATAGCTAGTCATCAGTAGATGTTGTGTTTAATACATTGGTCTCAAGCATGAGGTGCTGATGTCCCCTTTAGATGGCTTAACTAGCAAGCCCTTCTTTGGTCAAAAATCTTCACCAGAGAAGACATCATGAGCCTTCGAGGTCCACTTTCCAGTTTAGCTCCAACCTTTATCAATCTCACCTGCCTGTAACTTTCTAGTGATCCTGAAGCCCTTAATTAGCTTTTTCAGGTGTGTTTGATTAGGGTTGGAGATAAACTCTAAAGGAAAGTGCAACTTGAGGACCAGAGTCGAGAACCCCAGGACTACACTACACTGGTCTAAATTAAACTAAATCTGCACTAAACTAAATACTCCAGCTTGGGGTGCATTTCCCAAAGCACTGACCCAACTAACTAATACCCAACAATGACCAAAAGTTCTGTCCTTACTAACAATTCAGCATTTCCTGAAACTATCATTCCAATTAACCTTCACAACTAACATTGCAAATGTGTGCGGTTGTAGCAGTTCTCGATCTGTGGTTGAAACATATTTTGTTGTTAATTTCTCCACTGACATATCATACTATGGTTGTTAAGCAGCCAGTTACATAGTTGTATGGGAAACGCACCCCTACTTTTTTCTCATCCTGGTCTAAGCTGATTTTTTAATCATAGTAGTGCTAAAATCCTTCAATAAATTTTCCATAACTTACCTGTATCTGAAAGGTGCCACAGCAGCCATGTTGACCTTTGGTAACTGTTTGGCTTTGAGCATCTCAACACTAGAAGTTTCCTGTTTCGGGACTGCAGTAGTCTCGGCGGGTGGCTTCTGTGGGACCTCGGGACTGAGGTCATCTGGAGTGCACATCTCCTCATCTGAAAAACTACTGGAGGCACTGATCTGCAGGGACACTCTCTCTCTACGGACTCTGAGGAGACCCATATCTACATTAGTGGTCGCTGGACCAGGCCTCAAGTTTTTGTTACTAAATCTGAATGAAGGGATTCCCGTCTTGTTTTGACTGCTTCCAGAAGCAACGCTCTCCTCGTGGCATTTGAGTTCTTCTGAGATCAAACTGTTATCGTTGTCCATTCGTCCTATCTGAGAACGAAAGGTTCCACTCTGGAAGTTCTTGTTGCCATTGTACCGAAGGTCAAGCAAACTCTCGGTCTTGGACCCATCCATAGTACCCCTCGAAAATGGGGACTCTTTCCGTCGAACTTGTGGACTGCTGTGGGCTGATCTAGAGTCTTGGGTCTGTTTTTGAGGACTAGTGGAAGCACGTTGACTAGGTGGACTGCCTCTTAGTAGCAGATGCTGATTTCTGAGGGTGGTGTCCCTAAGCACGTCTCTGGAGGAGACAGCTGTAGGGCTGCCGCTACAGGAGGTTCTGTTGCTAATGGGGTCATGTGTGGATGGTCTCAGAAGGCCACTGCTGGTGCTCTTGGACTCAGGTTTTGGGGAGGGGAGTCTAGTCCTGTGCAGAGGGATGCCGGAGCCCGGCTGAGCTCGTGGAAGACTCTTCACATTCACTCCCCCACTCATGGTTGCACCAAGTCAGAAGCTGAAAAAAAGGGAAACAAACACCATGAGAACCACTGATTGTTGCTGAATTGCGTGCACACTCTCTTTCTCTTGTGTTCTCTCCATAGCCACTGATTTGTCAATGGACAACACTTCAACACAATTTCAAGCTCAGTGATAACTTCACCCATATAAATGATACTAAGGACAATTATACATGTAAGACACTGGTATGTACAGCATTGGATGTTGTGGCGGGAGGAGCAAATGACAGACACAGTGGGTGTGGCGTCAGGCCTCGGAGAGGCTTTTATTAACAGAAAATTAACAAAGGGTCCATAAAAAGGGAATAAAGGGTCCAAAATATACAGGGGATCTGATGTCCTTGTCATGTTGCGGGATTCGTGAAGGGAAGGGCAGTGTTCAGGAAGGAAGGGTCCAGGTAATAGGCAGAGTCCGGCGGCCCACGACTCTGGCGGCGTGGGAGTCCCTCTACGCACCCTTCCTGGACCCACGAGGACACGGAAGAGACCAGTCTCCTGAGGAGAGGCGCACTCGGCATTTAAACAGCGGCGGTGATGAGGCTCCATTCGGTTCAGGTGTGCCTGGTGTGTCACAAAGCCACCAGCCCTGGCTATTTCAGCGCCCCTCCTCTCTCACACACCTACTCCTGTCGGGAGCCTGGCGAAGGGCGGCAATTAAGGGATGGGGTGATGCTGATAATTAGAGGGGAGGCAGCCGACTCGTCACAATGTCTGATGTATTATGCATTTTCTGGATCCATATTGGAGTTACAATGGTTTGAAGAACCCTTTCAAACACATCTGCAGCTTTATACATGCAGTTCAACAATATGACCATCTTTCAATGAAGATTCAAATTGTTAGCATTTTATGAATATGTGTTACAATTGAACAATCTGATAGGGTGAGGTGAGGGATTAGCAGTTATTTTTCATATGCTAAAGAGGTGAAAAATCTTTACATTTCCTGAATAAACTGTTAAACTCTTGTACAAACCAAGGTTTAATAGCCTACATGGTTTCTCTACAGGCGGTTCACAAACTTCTTGCGGCTCATGATGGACCGCTGGGGGTTCTCGACATTCCTGAGTAACACAAATGTGAAAAGTGAATGTGAAAGGCACTGCTCAAAGTAGGTGGAAATTGTGGATTTTGGATGAAAGCCCATCTATCAGATGAAGGTTCTGATTTTTCTTTTTTGTGAAAGCATCAATGCTAAGGGCCAGTTTTACAGCGCAAACTGTCTTTTGGTGTTAAAATAGTACTGTCAGGTTTTACTAAAGACGGCCCGTGACGAATTAGCGTTGAAAAGGCATGGACAGTTATTGTTGTACCTGACCTTATTGAATATGCATTTGTAGGAGTTTCCCTTTCAGACTTTTCAAAATTTATGGGAGGAGAGTACGCAAATGAATCATACAATGAGATTTACTAACGTACTGGTATTTGCGCCATCATTTAATGCCTAAGCATGTCTTAAACTATTTTGCACTTGAAATGGCTGCAATTATTGTTGCTAGGAGGAGGCAGCGCAGAGAACAGAGACCGCGTGGTAGAAGGCAGAGGATTTTTTCCTCACGTGTTAATTTATTTGGAATGCCAGAAGAACACATTATCCAAACATATTGTTTGCCAAGCCATGTTATTTTTAATTTGCTTCAGGAAATAAAAGACACCTTGGAACCCTCAACTAGTGTGTGTTTTCTGACTTGTTATTTTGTTTTCGAATTTGTCATTGTGTTTTCTGACTTGTTATAATGTTTTCTGAATTGTTGTTGTGCTTTCTGAATTGTTATTTTGTTTTTTTTAGACTTGCATTTGCGTTTATAATTTGTTATTTTGTTTTCAGAATTGTGATTTGTTTAGCACTTCTCTGCCACCGTAGTAAATCACCCGCAGAAATTCTAATTCGCCCTGTTTAGTAAAACTGGCCCTAAATGTCTGAAATGCCCTGGGAGGGTGCAGAAATTTTTTATTTTGTTATTCTTAATATTAAAATATTTGAAAAAGGATTTTAAAAAGAAAAGAATGCAATGAAACAATGCAAAATTACAGTAACAACTATATAAGATCTTTCAGTTTGATATTTCATAAAGAGCCTAGGAACCCCTGGCCAAAGAGTGTCAAAGAAAGAGAGATTAAGTCTCTATAGAAGCTCAGAGTTACTACTCTAAACGGTACTCACAAATACATTGTAAATTCCCACCTGTTGCATTTAAACACAAATGGCATGGGCTGTTCAAATCTGGGAAAATCTACTCAAGAGCTTCTCTAAGCAAAATCCTGCCAAGGGGAAGGATTTGGCACGAGTGGTTAAGAGTCTTGTGAAAAAATACAGGAGAAAGGACAGTCCTTATTTGAAATACTTGCTTTAGAATCAAAACGAGTGATTATATCAATCTCATTTTGTTAAGCCAACAAAACTCTTCCCAAATACTGTAAAGCTCCATCTGGTCACCAAAATAAATCTACTAGCAACAGCAATGCAGAGATTCACTGTGGTTCAGTCAAAGACATTTAAACCCCTGCCAGTTCAGTTAGTCTGGCAGATATATCTGTCATTCAGTGCCCAAATGTCCTAAAGGCTTTCATCCCAGCCCACAGACTGGCCAAGATGGCCAAAACCCTCACGGTTTACTAACAGTCTCATGGTAACAATTGACCCTCAAATGTACAGGCAAAACTCAATCCATCAAAATCAGGGCCCTACAAACAACAGGCAGTGATGCTTTCTGGCAAATCAGAATCAGAGCGAGTGTTACGACTCAGAGCCTGTGGGAGACCCCACGAGTGGTGGTGGGATGCAAGCCGAGTCGAACTGTGGCCTGAATTCAAGCCACAAACCAATCTCACATTGAAGAGAGGACGTAATACAATAGCCCTGCTTTAAAAGCTTTACACATTTTCAATTGTTAAACATTAGACTTGGATATGTTCAGTTTTCCCTCAGAGATCTGATAGCACCATGGCAGAATCAAACAAGAGAACAACTTCACCTACAGGGAGGCAGTAAAGATGTCTTCTTCTTTTCTCCATCTCTGTCTTTTTTTATGCCTGCAAAATTTAGTTATGCAATATTTAGCCACAGAACTAACCAATCACAGTTGTCTAATCAACCAGCATAAAAGAGCATATAAATACTGTAAAAGTACAGTAAAGTTAACTTTATTTAATTAAACTAACTTCACAAGGTCTTTATCAGTGTCATAAGCTACTAAAATTAGTGTGACCATACATCCTCTTTTCCCCAGACATGTCCTCTTTTTGGACCTAAAAAAATGCTTCTGGCCGGGATTTCTAAATCGCCCAAAATGTCCTGTGTAGATGTGCTTTTGCTTTCAGTCGCCATTCATTGTGTGCATTTTTTGTATTAGAGCCACTGTTTTCTTAATCCTGCTCCCGCTGAATTTTTTACCAAATACCGCCTGCTCACGCAAACATTCTAATATTGAATATAATTTCCGTGCATCAGGGAGCTGCTATCAATATGCTGACTATTTAAATAACTTTTGGATGCAGCTTGTGTTGAATGCAGGGTTGCCAAATCCACATTTTTTTGCACGGAATTGGGCTGATTTTAAACTGTTGCGGAGATTATTTTCTCCCGTGAGTTACAGGTTTGAAATATTGTATAAATTACATTTGACTGCTTGTATTAAAACATTCTACCTATGATAAAACTGTAGTAGATGTTACGTTTTGTGAAGGATGGCCACGCTTTGTGTATATTTAAGATACTGTGAACTGTGCTCTCAGGACAAGATTTAATTTATTTTTTTTTTTATAAATGTCAGGTTAGGTCACGTTGTCACAATTTTGGCATGTTGTCAAAAAAGGTCAGTTTATTTCTCCAGGCCCGTAACAGTGAAAATACCAAACAGCTTTTTTTGTAGGCAAGATTTTAAGGTATCTCTCACTACGGTATACAGAAATTGAGTTAATAAAATAAGCATTAAAATATTCACTGGAAATTGAAAAGTGTGACAACTAGTCCCAGCCCTAGGCTCCACTATTACAACAACTATACTAACAGGAGCAAAGAACATCTGATAAAACACAGCAAAATTTCATCACAGCCTTTTCCAAATTCTGCTGTAATGTAATTAGGGTTGCTTTCACCCACAGTCCTGTCACAGCAGGGTAAGATCCAGCCACATAAAGAACAATAGGAAAGATTTCACAAATACACTGACACATAAGAATAAGGCCATTGTTTAAACTCTCTAATCCGATAAATAAATACTGGGATAAGCAGAAAATGAGCTTTCAATTCAAATTCAGTAAGAGCCAAGTGAGGTCTAATAGTTCATTTCGTCATATGTGTCTTAGAAAACTGTGTAAGAGGTTTAAATTACCACAATAAGCAATATAACTCAAATACATGTCTCTAAAATACTTAGTGCATCATTTAGTTGTTCAACTGTAGAGTAAATCAATTGCTTAAAATGCTTTTAAGAGACAACATGAACTAATATTCCCCAATAAACTTAAGCAGACTGATACAAATAAAGAAAAGTTAACATTAAGTCTAACAACTCAAGTCAGCATTATGTCCAATATTAAGTGACACATATTACAGAAACATGTAACCTTCGCCTAATGATTTTTACAAACAAATCACAATTCAAAAGCAAAGTGGATCACCGAAACAACTGGACAGAGATGGAACAGAAACAATATAATAAATTATCATCTTTACCCGAGCACCCACTCTGACTTTGGCCTACAGCAAACTAACCTGATGTTCCTAATGTTTCTTGAGCTTCTGCTAGAGTAAAGAGAGGCGAACTGAGAGAAGAGGAGACAGTGTGTCTACCATGTGAGTTCTACAGTCACATGATGCTCAAAACTCAGACTAAGAAGTTTGTTTTCACCGATTAAAGCATTAACAGATTGGCCTTTGAAAGCAGCTACTGGTTTTAATAGTGTTATATAACCAAATAAAGAGTGTCCAGAAAACTCTTACAAAATTTCACCATGGTATTCAAAGATATGGCCAAAATAGTTGCTACAATTGATGTTTTTCAAATAGTGTTAGAATCTAAAATGTGTTAGAATAAAAGCGTCTGCTAAATGACTAAATGTAAATGCAATTATAATATAATTTACTCATAAATTATAATGAACAATATTCATTAATTCATTCAAGTATGTAACAATTACAATATAACCTAATTAATTGCATGATGTGCAGATTAATTCATCAAATTAAATCACAAATTAATCACAACAATCTGAGCTCAGAAATTACCCCCCAAAAGATAGTCATCAATGCGTAAAAGAGAAAAGCACTAAAAATACATTACAAAAAATTAGATTATTTAATTTTTTTTATGAAATTATACTCTAAATATGAAACTAAAACTACTAGTAGGTGGCAGCTAGTCACTGTCTTAATTAGTGAGTCACTGAGTCATTCATTCAACTGATTCACTCAAATGGCTGATTCATTTGGAAATAAAACCGAGGACAGTTAGTATGAATGTCTCACTGGATCACTGGCTCATTCAATTCGTTCAAAAACGTAGAATCACTCAGTAATGAAACGCTGCTGTTTGTTGCTTGGAAATGCAAAACAGTTCTGCTGTGGCAATATTGTGACTTGCACAATATTAACTTGTTTATTGAACTGTTGTATAAAATCAATATCACGTTTGCAATATGCAATATTGATTTTATACATGTGTCATTTTTTTGCCCTCATATCTTGAATTTATGGGCATATAACTGTATTCTAATATGCTACATTACGCAGTCAGTCAAGTCGTCCTGCATCATGTTCATCAGCAACTGCGTGCAGTGACAGGTGTGGGCCAGCCAAGTGCGTTAAATGCATATATTTAACTATTTGAACACTTTTTACCGCTATAATTAATCACAACAAATGAATGCGTTAAATCGGCAGCCCTAGTATAATTGTGCTAGATTAAAAAAGCCACCTATCATCTACAATCATATTCATAATTATATCAATATTATTTTGTACATAATATTGAATACAATCTGTATACAATCCAGTGTGTATTGTGTATAATATGTACACACTGCTATGGCATATTTCCTCAAAACACAGCTAGATGACAGGTATATTACTGACTGAATGTGGGTCAACACAATCAAGCTTAATGGTAATTAAGACTAATGACCAGTGTTGGGGAAAGTTACTTTTAAAAGTAATGCATTACAATATTGCAATTACATTACCTAGTTACTTTTTATGGAAAGTAATGCGTTACGCTACTTTTGCGTTACTTTTTAAATATGGGCAGGGCTTGCTTGTTTGTTTTTAATATAAAAAAGTTATTCTTTTACAAATATAAAAGTCCTTTCACATCAAAAGTGAAATTAATACGCCTCAGGCTGAAGGAAATGTAAATTCACGTCTGTACAGTAGAGGGCGCAGCTCAAACAAATTGCATGAAGAATATGACGCAGGAGAAGAAAGTTCAACACTATTCAGCAGTAACAAAAATGAAACCAATGTGTCATTTTTGCTTATTAGTATGGTTGAATTAGATCATCGAAGGTCAATAGCAAAGACATTGGTTAATAAAATTGCAGGTTTATATAATATTCTGAGTTTGCATTTGACTGTTTTTATTCATTTTGAGGAATACTGAATCTGTTTTTGTGCAGTGAGAAGAGTAAATAATGTTCATATTTATTCTAGAACTACAGTAACATCGCAGCGCACACAACGCCTCTGCACTTACTCTCCATTTTTCTCACCATGGCAACACGAGAGCTGTCAGTCAAGACATAGGAAACAAAGTAACTAGCCTTACTTATTTGAAAAAGTAACTCAGATATTTCCTTCTAAATTAAAAAGTAATGAGTTACTACCCCCAACACTGCTAATGACAGGCGAAAGCTGTTCTAAGCAATGTTTGTATTATAACACTGTAGGCCTAAAAGATGATTAATTGACATCTGTAACTGACATCTGGTTAGCCACTCTTCCTATATGTGGACTTACACTTTTTGATGAACAGGATCATACATTTATCATTACTCTCACACAGCCAGGCTTTTGACAATGAGTATGAAGTGTGGACCAGTCTGTAGCTTATTCTGGCTATGACTCGCCCACACTGACAGGAAGAGTGTGTCTGACCGACATAAAAAGCGGTCAATTACAGTTTTCACCAGCGCTGAATTACCCCTTTCAGAATCCTGGACACAAGCAGTAGGTTATCCAGCTAGGTATTTTTTGCCCACTGTTTTTTGAAAGCTACGTACACTCACCAACCACTTTATCAGGTACACCTGTTTAACTGCTCATTAACACAAATATCTAATCAGCCAATCACATGGCAGCAACTCAATGCATTTAGGCATATAGACAATTTCAAGACGATCTGAAGTTTGAACCAAATATAAGATAGGGGAAGAAAGGTGATTTAAGGCCTCATTTACACAGCAGTTATTGATGCCTAGTTCTGATTTGTTGACTATATCCATTTTTTTCTGACGACCAGCTTACATCTTTTAAAAGTGACCAATATCTGATATCAGTAGAGATTTTTGAATATCGTTACATGCTCACATGACGTTGCTGTGCTACGTGGTCATGAAAACATATCGTTTGCAAGTGTTTTTAAGCATTGCTGTTTAAAAACAAGTGATTTTAAGCCATTAAAACGCAATCAGCAGTGAAAGAGAACTCATTTCGCTATATGCGCGTGTGAAGACGGTGCTCGTAGAGTGCAGGAATAATGAACGTAGTTATTTTTGCCACGTTATTGAACGGTTAAATATGTGTACTTGTATGTACTAAAACATCCTCATAAAAACAGTAATTTAGATCTTAAGTGAGCGCAAACAGCTAAGAAAGAAATTACATGTGTAACAGTATATTGGATCCGGGCAGCTCTTAAAGTGACAGCAGTCTAATATTCCAACATGACATTCATGTTGATCACACAACAAAAGAGAGAAATATCTGATATCTCACTGCAAATGCACATATCCAATTCATGTGAGATTTATTTCCACATGTGAATGAGGCCTGAAACCGATCTGAGAATATCGGAATTCATGCGTTTTTTTTCCTGCATACGCGTTCATGGGTCATATCCGATCTGTGCCACATGGGAGGAAAAGAAAATCAGAATTGGGTCACTTTGAACATGTAATGTAAACGCGGCCTAAGTGACTTTGAATGTGACATGGGTGTTGGTGCCAGACGGGCTGGTCTGAGTGGTTCAGAAACTGCTGATCTAGGATTTCCACGCACAGCCATCTCTAGGGTTTACAGAGAATGGTCCAAAAAAGAGAAAATATCCAGTAAGCAACAATTCTGTGGGTGAAAATGCCATGTTGATTCCAGAAGTCAGATGAGAGCTGATAGAAAGGCAACAGTAATGCAAATAACCACTCATTACAACCGAGGTATGCAGAAGAGCATCTCAAACCACACAACGTTGAAGCAGATGGTCTACAGCAGCAGAAGACAAGGGGTGCCACTCCTGTCAGCTATGAACAGGAAACTGAGGCTACAATTCACACAGGCTCACCAAAATTAAGTAGACGATTAGATTAATAGAATGCAAGATCAGATGAGTCTTGATTTCTGCTGCAACATTCAGATGATAGGGTCAAACAACATGAAAACAAGGATCCATCCGGCCTTGCATCAGTATTTCAGGCTGGTGGTGGTGCTAGGATTCACCCACCCGTTTTGCTATTTCCATGAATTACCGGTTTCATGAAAGGCCCTGTATCAGTTCCTCTAAAAGCAGCAGTTGAACTGTAAATACCTATTATCACAGAGAAGAGCTGCAGTTTAATTGCCACCAAGAAGCATCATTTATTTGGGCCTTCATACGCCTGTATCTTCAAACTCTATATTAGACAAACCCTCAGCAGCACTGCGTTGGAAAGGAAAATAAGATATTGCTACTTCGCCTGAATGACTTTCTTTCTGTGACAAGCCACAAACAGTCCAAAATAGATAAAGCGATGGGATGGAGAACCTTTTATGTGCACGGCATCTCTGGCTCTTGACCTTGTAATAAATTTCTGTCTCTCAAGTCAGTCCGGTATCTCTGAAGGAAAGGTTATCCAATCAAAGACAGACATTACAGAAACATTGTTGCGGGTCAGATCAGAGGCTAATGTGGAGTGACTGTCTGTCTCTATTTGTCTATTTTCATGTTATATAATATTTCAATTCTGATCGAGGAAGAATGAGCCACATTGCTTGTGAATGACCGGCAGACGGACACTGAGCTCGTCTATATCCATCTTTTTCTTTGTTTTTTAATAATCCTATAAATGTCAGGGGAGGTCTGGGGCTCTTCAGATGCCCTATTAATAATCATTAGGAGTCCAGCGGCAGCAGATGGGACCCCGCTCTGGTGTGTATGCCATGGAAATTTCCATTCAGAAGAAAGTCAGTCAGACTTTGTATGACACCGAGACCATCAACGTACACATACTCAACACCTAGAATATACAGCACGTTCATTAGCAAGGAAAGAATTGTAAAGGTGAAAATCACAGGATGTAAAACTTGAATCTAATTTTAAAATTGAATCCCTATTTAATTTAATACACACTTTTATTGTGATAACAACTAAAGTATTTGGGCAGAGGCTATAAGTACCATGCTACTATATATATATTATGGTATTAATCGCGATTAATCGCATCCAAAATAAACGTTTTTGTTTACATAATATATGTGTGTGTGTGTGTGTGTGTATGTGCTGTGTATATTATTATGTATATATAAATACACAAACGTACAGTATATGTTTTGAAAATATTTACATATATTTACATGCATATATTTATATTCGTAAAATTTATATTACATATCAATATATTTAATATATAAACATATCGTATTTTTCTTAAATATATACATGCATGTGTGTGTATTTATATAAACATAATAAATATACACAGTACACACATATTATGATAGCTATGCTTTTTGAATGATGATAGCTAGTATATATATATATATATATATATATGATGTATTAGTTAATGTGTATGTTTTGCTTTTGTTTAATTTGATGTTTTTTTCCTTATTTTTTGTTTGATCTAATATGTATGTTTTGTTTTATTTTATGTATTATGGTAGCTACTAAGCATGTTTTATTTTTATTTTATTTCATGTATGATGGTAGCTATGTATGTTTTACTTTATGCATTTGTCTTAAATTTCCCATTAAATTGGTCTCAATTCACTCAAATAAGAAATGTTAATTTAAAAATGAACATATTCTAAAACAAATTAGCTGCTCATTAGTCAATGTAGTAGAAATAAACATGTTAAGAATCAATAGAAGCGGAGGACTATTATTAAGGTTTTTTTAGGACTATTATTATGTTGTAATGTTTGGTTGACCAATTAGCAGAGAGGGGCGTTTCATTCCCGCCCACATGTAGAGATTGAATATTCAAGTTGTTTATTCGTTTTCTATCCCTGAATGTAAAAACGAAAAATTAAGCCGGATTCTTGATTTTTCGTTTTGTTTGAATAATTGAAAAACGAAATATGTGCCGTTTTTCATTTTTCAGATTTCAGTATTAAAACAAAAATTGATTGGACGGAAGATACCCTGATTCAGCTGCCACATTAAAAGCTTTTATCATTTATTGTGTCTATAAATGTTCTAAATGTTCCTCCTATTTCCTTAAAACCACATATTGTTTGACCAGTTAGATAAAGTATGAGTAACACACAGCAGACAATGAGCGGGTTAATCACAAACCAGTGTGTTTTCACTTGTTGAGTGACAGTGTGACTCATGAAGGCAAACACAATGGTGTTCTCACTTAAACTCAATTCACTTCAGTTCAGCACATCTGAAGAGACTCAGAATGAGCTCTGACCGTCTCCACTGCTCACCATTGTCATTACACACTCAGTGTGTGTGGGTAGGTGTGTGTAATGATAAAAGGTTAAAAAGGGTTGATTCTTTCCCGCATGTCCTCATCAGCTGGTCTGAAGCGCTTCTGCCACATCAGAGCAGCATCTGACCCTGTCATTCACCAGTTAACCTCACTCCATATTTGGTGTCGCCACAATGTCAAATGCTTAATACAAACAGCATGTGTGACAGAGCATATTAATTTAAAATGGATGGATACAAATATTTATACTTCAAACAATCAATGGCTCATAACAAACAGATGTCACTGTACAGCATCTCACTGTCAGGATAGTCTGTAATTGGAAATGTTTGTACTCAATCTGTTGCTTTTCCCTTCTGTGAAGTATTTGAACATTTAATCTAATCATCACAATAAAATACTTGAATAATATATATAATAAACATAGCATTATAACAATATAATATAATGTAATATATGCTGGCTTCAAAGACTGTGTCCAATCAAAATCTACAGTGTTTTGGCAAAAATTCATTTGTCACTTGGTAGAAATTAGACAGTCAAAGTAGCCAAATGTCAAGCTGTTTGAACAGGTAGCTTGACATGTTTAGATGTGGATAAACATAGTTTGTGACGACCATACTATGAATTACTTGGTTGCTGTGACCATGAAACCATCCAAATTCAAAAAGACATTTATAAACCAAACCCTCAAACTATAAAGACAAGCCTGTTGAGTTATTCAAAAGAAATCATCGGAATCTGAATACATCAAACAACCAAATTAAGCCTCAAATAAGTGTGCACTAACCTACAAAGTCACTCATCACACCGCAAAGCGCAGAAGCCACATAAAAGTGCAGAATCAGTCAGATTCCGATGTAATTTTTTGATAAGTAACTTAAGTAGTTTAGTAGTCCTGAAGCAAAAAAAAAAGCACTTGAGAAGCACTGAAATAGCTGTGGATATTATGCCACAGTCAAGTAATAGTACAGATGTTGCAAAACACATCCACCGCTATATCACAGACCCATCAGGCATCACTGCAATGAAAAACCACACTATCACCTGATGTGAATTTTTCAAACATTCACTCTTTCCTAAGAGAGTCCCCTTCCTTAACTGTCATCATCTTCCCACACCACAGTAGCAATCACTCTCACACATTCACTAACTAAAATTACTGTATGAATAACATGTCAGTGTGACATCTCTTACCTTACAGCTTCACTGTACAGTGCCTACTGTGATGCCGTTGAGAAGTGCGGGCTACGGATCCGCGTGCGATCCTAAGAAACAATAGGATGTGTTTTTTTCCTGAATTACACTTGCATCCTTTGGCCTGCTTTCCCAATGAAACACAAAGTCCACTTGGAGGAAACAGGAAGTTTTCTCGCAGGGCAGCGAAGCCCTCGGCCAATCAGCGGATCCCAATTCTGTTAGCGCGAGGAAGTCTTACTTATCCACAAAAGTTATTGAAAGCTGACCTAACTCGTCTGATATGACATACAATGACAATGTCAAAAGAGTGTTCCAAAAACCCAATAGCATCCAGTTAAACCAAACTAAACTGAAGCAGAATGAAGCATGGCTCTCTGGGAGTAAACACACTCTCTGCAGTCCTCAAACTCACTGTCCTGTCACACACACCGGGTCACTAACAAGTGCCACACTGACTCATCCATAGCCCTGACTCAGAATGACACGCTCACAACAGAGCCGACTGATGAAAAACTACATCCACTTCTGGCACAAAGCGCTTCCTGTTTGGAATCCAAGCATCTCTGCTGCTTCTCTGCTTCAGAGACTCAGCTGAGGGTTGTATCTTGCCATCTCTCTCTCTCTCTCGATCACGTCACACCCCTCCTGCCGCAGTCCGCCTGCAGTCCGGATCCTCCCCCTCTCCCTTCTCTCTCCTCTCTCTATCTGCCAGTAAATGGACCTGTTGGCTGGGTTCCTGCTCGGTGTGAAATATTAGCTCTCTCCTACAGCAGTAGCTACCTGGGCCATTAAGAGGATGAAGCTAGCGGACATGAAGAACAAATCCGGGATGCGGGTGAAAGACTCTGATAAAGACTCCTGATGCTGCAAATACCAATGTCTGCGTGGGGGGCTATAAAAGCAGTGGCAGAATGATAAGGTTGTAAATAATCCAGGCTTAGTCTATAAGTGGGTTTTGAGGTTAAACACTACTGTTTGGCTTTGACGTCGCTTTTATGTTATAAATATAGCTGTTCACACTTTCTACGAGTAGCTGACATTAAATACTTTTGGGAAACTGACATGCTATAGACCTTAGTCAGGGTGGTGCCACATTTAATTTTTGAGGGGAATGAAAACGAGGCTGTGAGGGACAGAAATACAGGCGTTCAATAGATTGTACGGTTGTTTAAAAACAAGCCAGTTATTCACCTGAAAGAATATTCGTATAAAACGACTTCTAGCAGACAAAAACTCCCTAAAACTGTATTGAAAGTTGTGAGTTGTGGAATGTGATCTAGGACCTTTATACAGTCCCTCACAGCCTAATTTTCGTCTGCATAAATCTGCATGGAACTGATCAAATGTAAACTTGTACCTTGAATTCATACATGTAAAATTTCATTAAAAAAGACCTATTCACATTAAGAATGATAACTATATTGATAACTAACTGTATCTGCTTCCATACCAGTCCAAGGTACAATAATGTTTTGTTTATTAAAAGCAAACACTGAAATTATGTCGTCTGCCACTTTAAATGCTCGAGTTTTTCTAGCGAGATGGATTCTGATTGGCTGTCAACGTGTTTATCGTTCATCGGCTGTACAAAAATCATACTAAAAGTGATTCCGATGATATAGTTTCTCTGTATCTTTATCGTTATAGTTGTGTGAACTCTGCTATTCTTTCAAATTTAGAATGATTTTTGAAACTATAAATTTATCGTTATTATTATTATCATTGGTGTGAATGGGCCTTAAGGGGGCGTTCAAGCAGAACGTGCTTCTCCATTCCGCTGAGTAACTTTTCCATTGTTTTTCTATGTAAACACATCTCTGACTGTTGAGACTGCGTCTTTTGCAGTGGCTCACATGGACAGAGACATGAAAATCTAAATGCAGTGCTTAAGGTAAAAGTAGTTCAACTTTTAAAAAACACAATTCAAGGCCTTGCGCTTTTTCCCAATTCCAGTGTTCATGTCTAGCATTTTTCAAAGCAAAAACTGCAAATGGCTCCTTGAATATTTGTAATTGTAATATTTGTACTTGTAATTCATTTTTCATACCACAACATCATTTAAAGCTTGCTCTACACATTAGGGCTACCCTCGACTAAAGATTTTTCTAGTCTACCAGTAGTCGTTAATTTTAAGCATTAGTCGACTAATCGCACGCTTAATTATTAATAAACGCTTAATTTTTTATAAACCATTTAATTCATAATACACAGCCTAATATGTGCTCAAGCCACAGCACACAGAAGTAATGAATTCGAATGTGTCAGGGAAAAACATTAAGGAAGGCTGCATTAACATTTTAATAATTTATTGGTAAACTAGTGCTTTCTTTCTTTGTTTCCGGCTTAAGAGATGAAGTCGGCGACACTGACTCGTCCTCTCTATAGATATATTTTTTCATGTCTGTAAGGCAAGTATACCCGGAGACTGAGACGGCAGAAAGCGCATCCTGTTTGCTTTCATTATTTATTCATTATAACAAAAGCATAATGTTTTGTTGTTATTGTTAGTGCATGCAAATAAACTCTTATCTGTATGACCAAAAATGACGGAGTATTTTAAGGGCCTCCATCTGTCCTGCAATGAGCACGCTACCATTCAGCTTCCACACTCTGTACAGCCACTTGAATAGTGCACATTTTTCTACGTTAACATTAGATTAAGTGGCCATGTAAAGTTGCTGCTAGATGATTAGCCATATTTGAGGTCGATGAATGATAGACGAGCGTTTGGATGTGCTGCCCGATGTGCTGTATTACCTAACCCTAACCCCACGTTCTCAAGCGAATAAGATATTAATGACAAGCAATGTTTTTCGTAGGCTTGAGGTATAAATTAATAAATTCATTTTGTTTGTCATCTAGCCTACATTTTATAGCCTGACATTTGCACATGGCCATGAACAGTATTGTAATTGTTAGCATAGCACAGGGAACATTAAGCTCTAGCGCTCAGAATTAAAATCCTCCTACAATCTGCAGGATTTAATATTCAATATCTTCATCTTGTGAGTACACTGAGCAACATATTGCCTCATTAGCTTTGACACTGGTCTAACAAATAGGGAAGAATTAGCCTCCAGGGTGCAGAGTGTACAACCAACAGCCTCTTAATCTTGACATACTTAAAATATCCACTTCAATCACTGTAATTCTGCATCAGTATCAAGTAAAAACTGCTAAAATAAGAGCAGCCTTTTTAAAGTGGGGAATAACAGTAATTTAGGCCCGTTTGATAGGAACTGAGTGTAAAATCCAGGCAATGCTAACTAGCTGTTAGGGACAGAGGGGATGTTTTAATGAGGACCGCAGGAGGGCTTTGTAGAGACACAGCTGTGCTTGTAAATGGGCATCTTCTTCGTTTCATTGAGATGTGTGCTGAATAGGGTGCAGGAAACACTAATTAAAGCAGTGGGTGATGAAGGTTTACAGAGAAATGGGCCGTCATTTCTAGCTGTGAGACTTGGATACTTTATCAACATGCTAACTTTCAGGCTAAAGGTTAGAAAAATACAAAATCAAACAGTGCTTAATAACAGTGTGGGAATTGTCCTGCTTAGATTACAGAGGTTAGCAGAGCACACTGTAAAAAAAAAAAAACATTAAAATGTGCTGTTATTAAGATAACAATTTCTACCAAATTTGATATTTAAAGGAACAGTACATCCAAAAATAAATTCTGCTCACAATGGATATGGGACACTTTTATGACATTTTATGGTATTTTTGTCCATACCAGGCTCATTGAAAAACCGAAAAACAGTTTTTGCAAAATCCTATTAAGTTGTTTCTTGCATGTTTTGCAACACTGTCAAAGTTAAACATCCAGTGAGTGGCACTAAAAGTGCATTTGGTTTTGTCCAAAGCAGATGCATGTGAATCTGGCAACGTTTGTTGTACGTATTGCAGTACTAAAAGGTTAAGTCTTTATTGTCAAAGTTCCTTTAATGTGGGGGACATCTTTGAAACGCCTCTTGGGCATGCAAGTGCAGCTCCTATCTCTTTGAATGGGTAATCATCAAATTCTCCAAAACTGTTCGCAAAGCTTACGATTAAATTTCATATTTGAAATCACCAATGAAATCTGACAACAGCTGTATCATAACTGTTGTTTATTTTGCTCAAATAGCGTTTAAAAATATTATTTCTCAGGCTAGACCAGCCAGTGTGCATGCACAGTCCTAAGCGCACGTCTCAGAGCGTTGACTGTTTCTAGCAACCGGGACTTCTAACGGCAGCTGCAGTGACACTTTAACTTTACCGATTAGGGATTGGCTCTTTTGCTCAGAAGGCGGGGTTTCGTTCGATAGAGTGGCCCATACATATCTATGGAGCGGCCATACTGAGCGTTACATTTTTCCCCATTCAAAACTATACGAGTGACATGTCTTATTCTATAGTCTTTGTTATTATGTTTCAAAATAACATACAAATTACACTAAACCCTACTCTAAACCTAACCAAAATTGTCAACAAAAGCAAATCTGATATATAAATGCATTTGCTGAAGTCACCGTGCCATTTTAACTTGTTTACACATCTTTGAGCTCTTTTATCGTGACTTGTGTTTTACGGGATTCATACCAGAGTGCTTCATTTTACAAGGGCAATGCTGTACCAGGTGCGCTACCAAGCACATTTACTACTCAGAAAAGCCACAAATATGGAGCTGGTTATGTGATGCAAACATCAAAATGTATGTTTACAAATCATGCACTTTGATAAAAGTGTGCAAAAGCTGTGCAAGGAATTGTGTCAAAATAAGTATTTATCAACTGATAATATGTGAAAAGGATTAAAGGTTGTGTTTTATTGCCACTACTGTTCATTTCAGCTTGAAACTGCAGTGAATTATATGAACTGAAATGTTTTGGAGTATGCAAAAATGTAGGTAGAGGCACATTTTTCCCAATGAGCCTGTACGAAAATAACTTTTGGGGTTAATATACAGTAAGCAAGAAAAACATAGGAATTTCAAAAAACATAAAGGTGATTAAAACATTTTGGGTGAACTATTCCTTTAAAGAAACCCCTAAACAGTCCCAAAAATGCTGAGATTAACTATATTCATTAAGATTACTCAAGTATTCCATGCAGCCATGTCATAAAAACCATATGGGAAGGTGACACATGGCAACATGATGCTATCTGTGGTTATCAACCATTTATAGGCTAAACAATATTGTGTTTAGAGGTCGACCGATAGTGAATTTTGCCGATACCGATAGCTAGGTTGGACCACACTGGCCGATACTGATTAATTAACCGATAGTTTTAAAATTGATACTGAACAAAAAATAGTGCTTTATTAACAAAAACAGTACTGAACCATACTAGTAGTAGTAGTAAAAATAATAATAGTAATAGTAAATGTTGAAATTAACACACTCTAACAAGGAACAATACTACTTACACAGCTTTCATTAATCTTAATGCTACAAATGGACTCTTATTTTAAAGTGTTACCATTTCATTTTAACTGTCATGCTTAAAGATGCACATCTTTGAATATATACACAAAGGCTATAGCATTAGAATTATATACATATGGATATTGTATGTATACTCTCACACTTTAACTGCTTCTATTCTTGAACACTTGATGATTATCTAATCAAAATAAAAGCGCAGCGCTGAGTCTAGGAGATTTTTATTTATTTATTTAGTCATTTAGCAGACTAAATGCTAGGAGATCTCACCGGTATCACACACACTCCAGACACGTCGTGTTCAACTCGAGTAGCGGGCTACAACTGTTTATTTAATCACCAAACGGACACAAGTTTACTTCAAGAATGAACAATTTGGCATAGACGAGTTTGAGGTTCGGTGTTTAAAAAACAGAGCAAATGGAAAGAGAAAGCGCGACCTACATTATAGCTCTATAAATGAAGCACACAAACTTTATTAGAGCCACAGAAAGACAAACGTTTTGCTGAAAATGCACAATACACAATTCATCATGTACATTAACAACGATTCGGGACAAATATAATGTTATTTAATGGAAAACTATGTGAATGGCGCTCTTTGGCGCGGCAGGATTTTCTGTCGGCTGCATTTAAATCCGCGTCTGAAGTTTACCGCTCTGTTCAGCGTGCAGTATCACTTGTCTAAACAAATAGCATGTGCTGTCAGTGATTTCAACCACTAGAGGCCGCTCTCGCACTGTATAATGACAGCAGACCCTTCTCAGCCACTCCAGCAATGGATGCAACCCGGAAAACTATCGGCATGGATTTTTGCCGATAACCGATTGTTCCAGCAATCAACTATCGGTACCGATTAATCGGCAAAACTGATACATCGGTCGACCTCTTGTGTTCACCTGAAAAAGTATTATTAACCCCTGAAGAATGTTTTAATGATGTATTATTAATGCATTAATATTTCTCCAAAAAACAAACAAACAAGAGAATAGATAAAAAACACAATGAAGTGACAATTGGCCAATATTAATTTTAGATCAGAAAATGTTGAACTCATAAACACATCACATATATTTAGTCGTGCACGAACACCTACAGGAAAATTACTGCACAATTGTAGTTTATGATTTCTTCATTGTTGGAGAGGATGATTCACTTGTCAATGTTGAGTCAGACAGACATGAGTAGCCTAATATTGTTATGCAGCAAAACCTATCAATCTATAAATTAGTGAGATACTGAAAGATTCATTTTTTTATACAGATTGTGAAGGTCACTGACTGAATCCTTGGGGATCTAATAATAGATGCTGCGCTCACTCTTGGATCATTTTACGGGCAATATCACCCGAGACCAATTTACCCCAGAAAGTGCTTAGGTGACTCAGCAGCTGAGTAACTGATCCTGATAAAATGGATCAAATTGACCGAATGGCTGTTTGAGGATGACCAAACTGTTTGGTCATCAGAATATAAAATGCATCAACAGACAATACGATGCTTTAGATACACAACAGGGGAGCTGCCACCGCATGCTGTACATCTATCTAAATGAACAAACATATACAGATACACACTTGTGGTCTGCATGGGGCAAAGAAAAGCCAGTAAACAACATCTATCTCGCTGACAGCTGTCTGATTGTAATTTACGGTCCCATTCCTGGGAGTCAGAGAGAGAATAACATGTCTTGTGCAAAAAAACAAGACCGCTATATACATTAGATATATAGAGAAATGTAACATGAAATGCTGAAACGATAAAATAACACAATAAAGACCTTTGTTTTGGTTTCTTTGTTGCCCCCTACAGGACAATAGTGGAATTGTATACCCTGAGATGATAAAAACCCTGAGATGATTTTAAAATGATATCAGATAAAGAAAATGAAGAAATTGAGAAATGTCTTCCCAAATAAATATATGTTGGGATATTCTGAACTTGTGAAGCGTCAGAAGAGCATCAAACTAAAATGTAATCTGCCCCCCCCCCCAAATATAGTTTGTTCAATGAACATAAATAAATCTTTCTAAGCAATTAATTGAGGATTGTAAACAAGACTAAAACAAGTCGATTTAAACAAATAATGTTTTGTTCATTTTCACTTCTGTTTATGTGTCAGATAACTAGCTAGAAATAGTGGAAGTTGACATGCTAAATATAATTTAATTTGGATAGGATGAGCAAGAAAGCAGCCTGGACATTAACACTTTCCCTTTCCTCAAAAACACATTAAATAACATTTCATTTTAACTAATTTGTTACTATTAAATAATGATTTATTTAGCAAACAAAAGTATTAAATTAACCTCCATTTGTGTGGACTGAACATAATGACATTAAAGGGGTCATATGATGCTTTTTTAAAGACCATTATTTTGTGTATTTGGTGTAACAGAATATGTTGACATGCTTTAATGTTCAAAAAACACATTATTTTTCAAATACTGTACATTATTGTAGGCCCTCTATGCCCCGCCTCTCTCAAACGCTTCGTTTTCTACAAAGCCCCCTCCTTTGACAAGCGCAGTCTTCTCTGATTGGCCAGCTGACCCAGTGCATTGTGATTGGCCGAACACCACAAGCACGCGTCGGAAATGTAACGCCCCTTACCATAATCGCGAGCTTCAAGCTTTCAAAGTAAATATCAAGACAGTTAATAATGCCATTAGTTTTACCACCAGTTCAAACCCGAAAGGGCAACAGAGTCGCGTGACAGACACAGTGATGATGCAGTACACAAGCCGCGGTTAAGACAGCTGACGTGCTATGATTTCTGACAGACAGTTCACTCTCCTGTGATGTGACCCTGTTCCCACACACACACACACACACGACACGTTACTCTGCGCTGCGCAAAACTCCGCATTTGAACAGTCAATAGCAAATACTTAAACTGATAACAAAACATACTAACAGCCGCTGATTCAGAAGCGCCAGATTGTCATAGCAAAGTCTAAATTTACCTTTTTTTTTATTTAGAAATAGCCTTTGTGCACAGCCAGCCTTGTACTCTGCACAAATTCGAACATCTAGGTTGTGCTGTTCTGTTGTAAATAAATCTTAACCAGTGATTCCTAATTGCATCTACTTCCGGAAGGCCAAATAAAGTGCTTTTGCTTTCGCACTGAAACACAACGTCTCCATGACATGGTTGCATCAACACTACTGCGTTCCTGAAACCACGCCTTCTTTCTTTGTGTGCACATTTGGGCGGCATTATGCTAATATTTCCACATAGTGACGTAGACATGTGGGGGCGTGTTAGAACGAGCCGTTTTAGGTAGGCGTCGTTGACTCTTAACATTTATAAAGAATATCTCTTTGGATTTGAGACTTTAGTCTTTGCAACTTTACAGATCCTCTTTATGCACCAAGAGCTTGTAACACTCCGAAGAGAAAGAAAAAATTGAAATCGCATCATTTGACCCCTTTAAATTCTTTGTTGCTTTAGCTCATTGCAATGAAGTAAACTTAAACAAGTAGAAAAACTCTATTTTGTGTGTTAAAAAAAGATCTGGCCTCCTGTCATTAGCAACAATATGATTTTTAACAGCAGAAGAGAAAAAAAAGTTATTCTAACTATTTTATGTAATTTTGTCAAGCATGAAAAACTACAAATGGCTCTCTAATCTTTGGTGGTAAACATTTATCACATCACAAGTTTTCAGATAAGACATAGCCAAACATGCTTCATCTTCAATTTCAAAAGAGGCGATCCATTAAAGAGACACAAAGCTGATCAAAAGCAAATGGCAGTGACTAATCATCTCACCACATGGTATGAAGCTCTTACAAATCTGGCACCTCCTGGCATGATGTGGCATCAGTGTTGAATCCATAATGAATGTCATACAATGAATGCGTCACAGCGCACAGCATGAGAACACAAGATGATTGATGAAAATCAGCACTCACACTCATTTAATATAACAAACTGACAGCAATAAAGCCAACTGCTCAAGTATTATGTGCATTTAAACAGAGAAATATGGTGAAAGTTCAATCTTAAGAACATTTCTCCTTGTGGGACAAGCATCCTCTCGCATTGCGATCAACTGAAACTCATCCATGATACAATACTGTGTAATACGGCACTGTTGGATCCGTTTCTTCGTGACATTGAAGGTATTTTCATGCACACTGTGAAAAGTTACAACGTGCAGTCATATTTCTAGCTGAGCTGACTCTAATGCTATCTAATCTAAACAACACGATTGCAAGTCTGACATTGCTTTTATACAGTATGACAAAATATTAAGTAACTTACATTTTAGACACAATCTTGCCAATTGTGTATGTTTGCTCCGAATAAGAAAACTATTCCAAACAAAGCCACTGCTGACTAACCGTGCGGTGTTCATACCTGAATGAATTTGTTTTTGAACTAATCAGTTGGGTCAATGATTCAAAAGACTCACTCAAAAAGACAACTGTCACTTGTTTCGTTGATTCAGAGTTTTTGAACGAATCAGTTGGGACAATAATTCAAAAGACTCATTTATAAATACAATTGTCACTTGCTAAATCACAGTTTTTGAACCAATCTGTTTGGTTAATGATTCAAATGACTCACTCATAGCTGTTGCTTGGTAAGTTCTTAAATTAATAAATTTTTGAACTAATCTGTTGAGTGAATGACTCAAATGACTCATGAAGACAGTCGCTTGTCGCCACCTATTGGCGTAACAATGTAACCTGCAGAAAGAATCACCGAACCGTTGTCAGAAATGCGTAAACACAGACGTGAAAACAAAACAGTGAAACAGTTCAGCTATTATATGAGCACGCTTGACCAATCAAACTGGAGAACCAGAAGTATTGTATAATGTGATAGATTAGATAGATAATTCACCCAAAAATGAATATTCTGTCATCATTTACATCATTTACGCTCGTTTCACTAAAACCTGTAATATTTTCATCTGCAAAACATCTGAAGAATGTTGGCAAACAAACAGTTTGGTTACCATTGACTTCAAACTAAATAAAAGATTTCTCAGAATATCTTCTTTTATGTAACAGAAAAAAGTCATGTTTGAGTCCGTTTTTGATCATTTTAGGGTGAACAATCGCTTAAAGGCTTCATGCCCAGTAAAGCATGCTAAGACTTATTATAAATATACATAGAATTAAAAAAAAAAAATCTGCTATGTACTTACAAATCAACTTTGTTGGTCCACACACAGCACATATATAACCATTACAATCATCAATGAATAAAAGCGTGCAATAAAGGAAATAAAGCAGCTGACTGATTTCAGATCAAGCTAAAAAGGCTGTAAGGAAATATAGGATGATATAAAAAAGACAGTAACCGTTCAGAGGGTATTGATGTATTGATATATTGATACAGTTCAAGCATGCTACCAAACCGCAAATTAATCTGTCTATGCAGATTTGAGAGTTGTAAATAATAAGGAGCTACTCACATCATGAAGGTTGTCCGTTCACTGCAGAGCTGTGTGTGTTTCCACTCTCCTCTGAAGTGTGTGTGAGTGTGTGTGGAAGCAGCAGCTCTTTAAATGAAGGACGTGCTCACAATAACACATATGCACACACTGAAATATCTGTTGCGTAGTGCCAGAAGGCTCTTAGGCACAAAGACGAGGCCAATAGAGTGGCTTCTCCACAGATTACACACATTCCCATATGACAGTGTGCAGAGCAATGGGTGGGACGCTGTGTGTGTTGGGGGTAAAGTCGGCCGAAGCCAAACTACTTGTGGCCTCCAGGCACGCTTTATGCCAGCACTTTTAGGGGAAGCCGGCGCCACAATGGTGAGCCTGTGCCAGTGTCACCCCGGGCCTTTGTAAGGGGCCCCCGCTTCGTTTTAAAGCCCGCTAATGATGCCGCGAACATGGCCATCTGTGTGCAGGGGGCCTTTTCTGAGCGCACACAAATGAGCAGATAACACGAGAGAGACAGACAGATTAAGAGGCACTACAAAGCAAAGTTGGTATGAGATGATTATACGGTTCTTTGTCGAGCCCTTTTAATTGTTTTGGCAGCATTATGCAAATGACATGCAAATAAGGCAAGGACTGACTGAAGGAAATGAAAGGGGATTTCACACAAACGCTGACTCATATTTGAAAGTGTAATTCAAATAAATTGAATGATTCAGACATTTTTTCACACAGCCTTCCTTACGACGTAAATCTCGGCCCATATGCCACATTTACGCACAATAATCATCAACAGGGATTAAACATGTAAATTCTGACATCATTTACTCACCCTCAAGTGAAAGAAGATATTTTGAAGAATGTTGTTGGTAACAAACAGTTGCCGGTAGCCATTGACTTCCATAGTATTTTTATTTTTTTCTATACTATGGAAGTCAGTTGAGACCAGAAACTGCTTTGTTACCAACATTCTTTAAAATATCTTCTTTTGTGCTCAACAGAAAAAAAAAATGAATAAATTATAACAGAATTTTCATTTTTGGGTGAACTATCCCTTTAAGAATCATTTTAATTCTCAAGATTAATATACTTGGGCTCTGTTCATATGCAATTGTAGACAAGCACACCAGGTTCAGGGGAAAGCAGGTCACAGCTGTGGTAATACACATCATGTCCTCCATGTACTTACTTTCACTAAATGAAGAAGCCATAGATATATGTTCATATTGTATATGGTTAAGCTAGTATTTAACAAGAGTTTTAGGGAAGTTCATGTATTCACACAGTTCAGATTCAGTTGTATCCCTGTTGAAAAAAACAGCATATGCTGGTTAGGTATGTTTTGACGCTGGGATGCTGGTTTAAGATGGTCCTTTGCTGGTTTAAGCTGGTCTTTTCCTGGTTTATGCTGGTCCTTTTGCTGGTTTATGCTGGTCCTTTGCTGGTTTAAGCTGGTCCTTTGCGGGTTTATGCTGGTCATGTGCTGGCAAAGGACCAGCATAAACCAGCAAAGGACCAGTTTAAACCAGCAAAGGACCAGCATAAACCAGCAAATGACCAGCTTAAACCAGCATCAAAACATACCTAACCAGCATATGCTGTTTTTTTCAACAGGGATGGCCAGAATGAAAAATTCTGCAAAAACAATGACCTTGTTTTACAAACCTGCTGTGGCAGTAAAAAACCTAAAGTGGGCGATAGAGTTTAGATGGATACCGTTTAGTTTTAGATTGCCACTCATTCGGATTCTCATCCATGCAAATTTAAATACTTGTTATTGCACATGTAATGATGAAGTTACTATTTAGTACATTTAAATACACTACAGCTGAAATGATAAACAAGTACTATATGTGTGCTTTAGTATGTTAGTCAACACATCAAAATAAGTGTAGTTATTTAACTTAAAATGTACTTTAAAGTAAAACTTTTAAATTGATATATTACAAAGTGTACTTTTTAAAAGTGTAGGCCTACTTTGTCTTAAGAAACAGTCATGAAAGTGAACTCTTTAAGTACATTTAGGTGGCCTTTTATTCCATTAATATCATAGTTTTTTGCAAGTACAGTTTAAAAAAATACTTTTAAGATTTGAAGTATACTACAAGTGCTCGATCAATACAGCTAAGCACACTTCTTTTTCACAAAGGTGTATTAGGGTGCGTCCAAAATGGCATACTTTTTTAAAATAAGTAATTACATGTACTTTATGAGCGCAAAAAGAGTATGTTGTCTATAGTATGAATGTTGAGTAGTATGAATGTAATCTAGACGTACTATATATATAGTTGGGAAATATGCCATTTCGGATGCAGCCTTAGTCAAGTCATGTAGGTTTGACACGTCAG